GTATAGCATTATTCAAATAAGGCCTTATTTCATCACATGCATTCCTGATTATGTCTATTAGCATATCTCTTGTGGTTACGCGAGTCTGGTACACTTTTTCTTTTAGAAATCCCCACACAAAGAAATCTAATGGATTTAGATCAGGGGATCGTGGAGGCCAGGCGACTGGTCCTCCACGGCCGATCCATCTTTCTGGATAATTTTCGTCCAGCCAGTTTCTAACTATTCTCGAATAGTGAGCCGGGCAACCATCAAGCTGGAACCAGGCCAATCTTCTTATATCTAACATAACATCATCCCACATATTTGCATGTTCAGCCTTTAAAAATTCCAAGAAGGTCGCAGCATTTAACCTTGCAGGCAAAAGGTAGGGTCCAAATAGTCGATTACGGTAGATACCAATCCACACCTTCACACTAAATTCATGCTGAAAATTTCTTTCCCGAACTGCTTGCGGATTTTCATGCGACCAAATAATGTTGATTATGAAAATTTACCACTCCACGTCTAGTGAAGCATGATTCATCGGTCCATAAAACGTTACTTAAAAACTCCCTATTATTATCAGTTCTATCAAGAATCCACTGACAAAATGTGATTCTTCGTTCTCCGTCCCCTGGCTGTAGTCCTTGCACAGGTTGCAAATGGTAAGGACGTCTATGGTCAGTTCTAAGAACCCGGTGAACATGGCTTGCTGAAATTCCCAAGGCACCAGAAACTCTCCTAACACTTGTGGTCGGATCCATTTTCAATTATTTGGCGATGCACTCTTACAAATACTGAGCGAGTTGGATGTCGTCTGTTTGGAAATCTTCGTGCGTATTCTCTGGCTGCTTCTGCTGCGTTTCCATTTACAAAGCCATACACAAAATGAATATCCGCTAACTCTTGATTGGAGAATAAAAATGGCATTTTTATAAAACTTACAACAAAAACAGGTAAAAGAAACTAAATTTCGTGCATTCACAATTTCAAAAAAACGTTTCAGGTTTCAACCGACAACAAAACTAACTGTCAACTAATTGACGTTTAACCTTATTCTGCTTTAAATTTCAAAAATATTTGCAGGCACAGCCCACTTCTAAAAATTATCGAGATACTGACTTTTTAACGTTATTTTATCATAAATAATTAAAAATGCATCGAACCTTAAAAATCGAAATATCTCAAAAACGGCTAAGTATAACGAAAATTCACATGAGAGCTTTTTTATGTCGAAAAGTGCGAAGAATCAGTTTTTTATTCAAAAAGCAAAAAATTGCACTAAGAAAAAATTTTCGTTCATTTTAATACACTACAGATACAGTAGAGAGCGCCCTCTAGCGGCTACAGTAAAACTCGTTTTGTCGTATCAAAAAACCCTTGTATACCAATTTTCACTGTGATACATCAAATATTGTTCGAAACATTTAAAAAAAAATATTTTAGAAAGTAAATTTAAACACCCTGTAATTTGGAAGTCACGCATTTTTCGACCCATGTTTATATAGACTTTATGCACTAATTTTAAAAGTTCTATCGAATCTTAAAGTTATGCAACAATAAACTGAAACACCCTGTATACATATATTTAAAGCCTTCAGTATGCCATTAATTAAAATAGTTTTTGGTCTGAAGTAAGGTTTTTATCATTGTCAAAACCTTAATTGCTAATAATTGTATTTCTCGGTTGGTTCCTTTCTGCAAAAAGCCGTCCAAAATTGTAGCAACTACTGACGATATGACCCTAATTGCAAATATGCTCATCCATTCTGTGACTTGATCCCTTATTGTGCTCTTTGGCACTCCCAAGGTAGGTTCTGAGCCTGTAAAGAGTGCGGATGATCCTTTAATTGCTCATCCACCCCTTCATTTATTGCGTTACCTGAATGTCCTGGCACCCACAAAGACACTTTGTTATGTTCCGCCAGTAGGTGCATTCCCAGATCAGTGCAGATGCCACTCTTTAGAGCCTCTTAACGCTATGGGTGACTACTGACTGTCAATGTATATGGCGACCAATTTATTATTATAAGCTCTGTCATTATTTACTCTTGTTAGGATCATCTGCGGAAAATGATGTGACTCCTCAAAAACCCCAAAATTAACAATTATCGCTCCTATTAGCGTTGCAAGAATGATTATACAGTATTCCTTAAACAGCATTGTATACTGTAAGAACATTGGCAAAACCCTCTTAGAACAGCTATGCAAGCAGAATGGGCACACCTAATAGGACACTTCAGTCATTTAAGAGGTTGTATAAGGGCTGCAGGTAACAGTTATAAAACAAAAGTGTAATCCTTTTGCAGCCGCTATAGGACATTTGCGTCAGTGCAAGATTCAGTTTTTGTCAACTATACAACTATTCTGTTATGTGATTCTACTTTATTGCAACCAAAGTATCTCTTATGTACTGTATAGATGAAGTGAAGAATATATAACTAACACATTACACTCATCTTGTTTACTTACATATCGGTCATTGTGAATTTCATACACAGGTATATGATAAACTTCTACACTGTGATATAGGGCTAATGAATTACTTGCGCAGCAAATATTATTGTGATTATCGTGCAAATTAGTTACCCAATTTCTACGGGCTTCGTATTTGATTCATATTTTGACAATGATCAAAAGTATGTCTAGATTTTTAAGATGGAAAACTGAACTTATCTGCGTTAAATCTTCCACAAATCCTATATTTAGACACAATTACACTAATGTTTATCACTTTATATCTGTAATTTCGAACTGAAACATAATTATTTAATATTAAGTAGGGCGGGGGTGGTTGTGTACAATCATGGCATCGTCCATGTTGTCTTTAGGTGATTAAAATATTTTGATGTTGCCTGCAGGTGTTATACAACAATTTGACAAATGTCTGAAATGAAATACCGACAGAGTCGATTGATTATCCCAGAATTTGTACCAGATCTATATCCGTTTTAACAGTTGATAAAACCTTCTGAACCAGTATGCATGCGTTGTTTGTCTTAAAACATTGGTTATGGCATTTTAACAAAAATATGACAGCAGAAAGTTAGGTTATGGTGAAGTTGTTTACCAACATATTTAGCATATGTACAGCCTTTAACAGTTACTCAACAACAGTCATATAAGTTCTTCCATTGGGAGCAGTTTGTTGGCTAAAGTAGTAAATTGCACAGCAAAACAACAAGGCTCGGGTTTATTTTATAAACGTTACCATGGATGCAACAACACAACCATTTTGACTAACGTGCAAATATGCCGTATAAAATAGTTGTATAAACGTTTATGCAACAGTTAAAAATTTGTCCTACAAGGTGTTGTATAACTACGCATAAGAACACCTCATTTTAGAGCAAATATGTTGCAGAAAGCAAAATTGCATTCCACACAATATTAAGCCAGCATTTTGGTGTTCAGGCAACAACAATAGAGAGCTTTTATGTCTGAATTGTTCTTTTACCAAAAGCTTATAGCACTACTTTGCTAGTTGGGAATCTATTACGAGCAAATAACTTATAAATTTTCTAGCTTTATATTATATACATATATTTAAAGCCTTCAGTATGCCATTAATTAAAATAGTTTTTGGAATCATCTGCGAAAAATGATGTGATTCCTTAAAAACCCTTGTTCACCCCTTGCAATCTTAATTTGCGACAAAAATAATGAGTTTTAGTAACTTTAATTTTGAATAACGTATTTTTCTCTAAAGTTTGATTATAATGGGTTGTCAATAGGGACGCAGGAAAGTAAACGTCAATTTGACATAGACGCCATCTTTGTTTTCTGTCACCGACATGTCATTTTGTTAGTGGAATGTTTACGATTGATCGCTATGGAGTCGTATTCGATTGAAGACCGCATTAAAGTTATTCAAGAGCACTACAAAAATGGTGCAAAAATAAAAAACACGTTTCGTGAACATTTCGGTCGCAACAACCGCCCAAACGAAACAACCATCGGTCGTCTGGTGCGTAAATTCGAGGCAACAGGTTCTGTGGCAAATCTGCCAGGCTCTGGCCGGCCAAGGAGCGTTCGCACACCGGAAAATATTGCTGTTGTGAAGGAGAGTGTGAGAGACGATCCGAAACAATCAACAACGCGTCGATCCCAAGAATTGGGCATTTCGAGAACCAGTTTGCTCCGCATTCTCCACAAGGATTTGAATGTACACGCCTACAAGATCCAAGTGACGCAAGAGCTGCGTCGGGCTGACCATTTTTCGCGCCGAACGTTCTCAGATTGGCTCCTTGAACACCGCCAAATTGATGCCAATTTTTCATCAAAAATCATGTTCAGCGACGAAGCGCATTTCACTTTGAATGGGACGGTAAACAAGCAAAACTGCCGCTTCTGGGCGAACGAAAATCCCCGTGAGTATCAAGAGCAGCCGATGCATCCTCAAAAAGTGACTGTGCGGTGTGCATTGTGGTCAAAAGGCATCATCGGACCTTACTTTTTCGAAAATGCGGCCGGGGACGCCGTTACCGTCAATTCTGAGCGATATCACGTGATGATAGAGGACTATTTTTTGCCGCAACTTGAAGGAATGGATATGGACGATGTTTGTTTCCAACAAAACGGTGCAACATGACACACAACCAATGTCAATATCCATCGATTGCAGTCCTTCTTCGGTGATCGCGTGATTTCGCGCAGAGGAAATGTGCCATGGCCACCAAGATCGTGCGATTTGACTCCCTTGGACTTCTTTTTATGGGGATATTTGAAAAGCAAAGTCTACGTCAACAAACCAGCCACCTTCCAAGAACTCAAAAACAACATCATTGCCGAGATAAATGCCATAGAACCGACCATGTTGCAAAATGTCATTGAAAATTTCGACCATCGCGTGGACGTCTGTAAATCCAGTCGTGGTGAACATTTGAGCGATATTATTTTTCATACATAAATGGTATAAATGAACCTTCAAAATAAAGTACCCAACTTGATTTGAATATCAATCTTTCTTGTTTTAATATGCGTTTACTTTCCTGCGTCCGTTTTGGACAACCCCATACCTGTAATAAGAACTAGGATCAGGCGTCGTAGTGGGTTTTCCTTCGTATATCACAGACGTCATGCCGTACAGCAGCGGTCCATAGCACATGTACGAATGTCCGACCACCCATCCGAAGTCGCTTGTTGTCCACCAAACGTCGTCTGGATCTAAGCCGTACAGTGCTTTCATGGTATAGCACAACATCACCAGATGGCTACCTACTGGACGGATGATTCCTTTCGGCTCCCCTGAAATGAGAAAAAATTGTGATTCTACGAGCCCCTTCCCACTTCAGTTGGCCCAACTATTGAAATATTAGTTTTTTCTTATCAAACACAAACAGTAAAAATGTAGCAGGGTGTTATAGGTTTAAAATATTAAAAATGAATATTTTGATGATATATAGTAGAAAACACCAACTTTATCACTCCCTGATCAAATTTGCAGGATAAAAATAACACATGTTGCAATTACAGCATATCAGCCTATTATCATTTCAATGCAAAATAAGTCTATAACGCATAGGTGGCTGTGAAAAATAAAAGCCATGACAATTGTTTTTATTAATCACATCTGTCAGATACGTTTAAAATAGTTTTGGGTTGTTGAGGTTTTCAAAATGGGTAGAGGAAAGGTTATTAGTGAGAAAATTCGGTTACTTATAATTAAAGTATTTAATTCTGGGAAATCAAACTCAGAAATTGCAACTTTGTTAGACTTTTCGCGGTACAGTGTGAGAAATTTTGTTAGAATATATAACGTAACTGGTTCAGTTAATATTAAGCCACGATATGTGAAAAAAAAGTAATATCACAAATGCTGACCGAAGAGCATTAAGAAGAATAATCGTGAAAAACAGACGTGCCAATTATTTACAATTAAGTGCTCTGTGGACTGACGCTGTTGGAAGGAGAATTTCGAGGTCCACAACTCATAGAGAGGCCCACAAACTGGGATTAAGCACTTGCAAGGTAAGTTTTCTTATAAAAAAACGTGAAGTAAAAACCCTAAAGTTGCACAACTTGTTTATAAGCCAAAGAAAAGCCACTATTGACTCCACTGCCAAAGAAAAATCGGCTTAGATGGGCTAAAGAACATAGACAATGGACACCTCAACAATGGCGTGCAATACAATGGAGTGATGAGGCCCGATTCGAAGTTTGTGTTGGTGACAGTCGCAGTAGAGTTATTCGCAAAAAAATGAAGCATTCCATGTTGACTGTCTGAAGAGAAAAGTGAAATTTCCAGCATCCATTATGGTCTGGGGCAGTATGTCATCAAAAGGAGTAGGAAAACTTCATTTTATTGATGGAAATGTGGATACAAACAAATATTTGGCAATTTTAGAAGAATCGCTTTTACCAGTCATGGAAGAATGTTTGACATCCGGCCAAGATTTTGTGTTTCAGCAAGATGGTGCAGCGTGCCATACCTCAAAAAAGGATATAAAATGGATGGAAGAAAATAATGTACCACTTTTGAAATGGGTTTCTAGCAGTCCAGATCTGTCACCTATTGAAACTTTGTGGCACGAGATGAAAAAAGGTTCTACGACAACATCCTGCTCGTACAATCACCGAACTGAGACAAAAGTTACAAGAAATATGGGATTGTTTTACACCAAATTTTTGCCAAAACTTGGTTAACACTATGCTCAAAAAAATTTCAGCCGTAATAAAAAATAAAGGTGATGTTACCCAATGGTAATCTTTCAGTTATTGCTTTGTTAACTTCGCGCATTTATTCGCACATTGTTTATTTGTTCAGATGTTCTATTAGTTATAGGTCTAAGTGATTTCAAATACGACTACAGTGTATCTAAAATGTGTTTGAGAAAATAAATTGTTTTAGAAGTAAATAGTTTCGTCATGTTTAGTTTATAAAGGCATATTTTGGAACAAATCTTGAAGTGGGCCAACTGAAGTGGGAAGGGGCGCGTAGTCCAAGAGGAAGAATATGATTGTCGAAGTAATGGCTCCTCACGAGACGTTGAAAAAAAGGCGCCAGGTTGGTTGACTATGCAATTCTCTCGCAACGCCCTTATCAGTACATAAGCATCAACACAACCGAGACCTTCTACGAAAAAAGTCAGGCAGGTCTGCTGTGTTCTTTGTAGCTCCTCAGTAGCACCCATCGCTAGATACGTTAAATTAATAAAGCATACAGTGCTACTAAAGTCGTTCACAAAAAATATACAGGGTGTTCCTTAACGATGTGCGAGTATTTAAGGGTGTGAATCTACATGAAAAATTAATGTTAGTTTGCTTTATAAACTATGGTCCAAAAATGTTTCCTTACAAAAACTCGGGGTGTTGAAGTTTTAGGAAAAAAATGGAAATTAATTAATACTTTCAGAACCGCTTCAGATATTTCACTGATATTTAGTAAGTACTGGAAGTCAATAAATTTGCATATTTTTCAATGCAAAAATAATTTTTATCTTCAACAGTGGCGTGCGTACGGGTATTGACTTCGATATTTTTTAATAAAAAAATGCTACGCCAATGGTTTTTTGCCAAATAAAAATTATTTTTCAATTCAACGTTCAATTTAAAACAAATGATCTCTCTAGAGTTGCTTTCCTTGGATGCGCCATTTTTGAGTAAAAAAATAAAAACCGTTCAATTGTCTAACTTGCAAAATTATTATTAATTTAATTGGAAAAATTAAACATATTAAGAGTAATGAACAACAACTGACAACATAAACACAACAAAAAAATTGTTGAAAATGGACCCCTTCACTAACTATGCATGCTTCCGCCCTCCTTCTCATGGAATTGCGCACTCGTTGAAATATCCCTGGAGTGTTTTTTATTCTATCACAAGCTGCAACTATTCTTTCTCTTAATTCCTCTACAGTGTTAATGGGACTTGTGTCCACTAGTGTCTTAAGATAGCCTCAAAAAAACTAAATTTAAACTGTTGAGGTCTGGGGACCTTGGTGGCCATTCTTGGCGCCCACCGCGGCCAATCCAACGATTTAGATAAAGAGTTTGTAAACAATTACGAACCGATACTCTGAAATGGGCTGGTGCACCATCATGCATGTACCACATATTGTTTCTTATTAGTAGCGGAACATCATCAAGTAGAAAAGGCAACTGTTGTTGAAGAAGATTGGGGTAAGTCTGTTCGTCGAGTCGTCCCGGCAAGAAGAATAGGCCAATAAAGTGGTTGCCAATAATTCCTGCCCATACGTTAACCGAAAATTGGTGTTGGAAATGGGTTTCGGTTACGGCGTAGGGATTTGCTTCTGCCCACGTATGATTACTGTGGAAATTCTGAATGGCATTTCGACAAAAATTAGCTTCGTCCGTGAACAGAATCATTGATTCAAATTGCGGATTTTGTGTAATTTTTTGAAGATACCACCGAGAAAAGGTCAGACGCCTTGGAAAATCAATGGAAAGTAATGACTGTACTCTTAAAATATGGTAAGGATATAACAAAAAATCCACTAGAATTCTCCAAACAATTTGATGGCAAATATTTAAGTGTCTAGCGACCTTCCTCGTACTCGTTTGAGGATGTTCTTCGACTTGCAGCACTGCTTCCTCAATTTCAGGTGTTCTCACACTTAGAGGTCTACCTTCAGATGTTCCTTTTCGGACAGAACCAGTTTCAACAAGACGACGATGAATATTAGAAAAGGTTCGACTATCTGGCAAAGCACGATCGGGATATCTCTGGTGATAAATCCGTCTGCCTTGCTCACCATTACCGTCGGCAACGCCATATAGGTTATGCATTTCCGCCATTTCTGCATTTGAATAATTCACCATTATTAACAAGATTTTAAAAACTAAATAATGAAAAAGATGTCACAGCGAACAGATTTGAATAACAGAGACTTGTCAGATGTCAAAAGCCAGTGACATATTCCAGAGCAACTAGATATTTATTGCTAAATTGCATTCTTCAATTATTACATTAATTTTCTCGGACAGAGAACGTTTTTTATTTTTTTACTCAAAAATGGCGCATCGAAGGAAAACAATTCAGGAGAGATCATTTGTTTTAAATTGAACGGGGAATTAAAAATAAGTTTTATTTGGCAAAAAATTATTGGCGTACCATTTTTAAAAAATATTGAAGTCAATACCCGTACGCACGCCACTGTTAAAGCTAAAAATCATTTTTGCATTGAAGAATATGCAGCTTTATTAACTTTCACTACTTACTAAATATCAGTAAAAAACCTGAAGCGGTTCTGAAAATATTAATTAATTTACATTTTTTTCCTAAAACTTCTACACCCCGAGCTTTTGTAAGGAAACATTTTTGGACCATAGTTTATAAAGCAAACTAACATTTTATATAATAATTTTCCATGTAGATTCACACCTTCAAATATTCGCATATCATTAATGACTTGAGGGAAAAGAAATATAGTCCTTAAATGGTCAGAAGGCAGCGAAAAGTAGTGCTACGTGCGGTATGGGCTTACAGTCTCGCCCGACGCACTGCTGGTGGTGGCTGGCATCCCGCCAACTGATTTTCTAGCTTAGCAGAGTAGCACGCTCTATAAGAAGGGCAGCGAAGCTAGAAAGGGAGTCGCTTTTTCAGATGGCAAGAGAGACAAAATGTAAATGGCCTGCTAAATATTAAGGCTTGGATTGACATGGGAGTGATGATTACTATACTGCACAGTTCCCCACAGGACACCGTCCGTATTACAGTTACATATAGAGGGTACACGAGCTGCGGATATTGCAACGGAGAGGAGATACTTCTAATCGTTTACTCAAATGTAACGGGTGATTCATTTAGAGGTACTTTTTTGGTGTGGCTGTAATTGCTTATGGCGCATGCGTCATGACAACTAATTTGACATTTACTGTTTCAGTATTGTTCGACATTTCATTATGAAAAGACTTGGTCCAGCACAGCGTCTACAAATAATTCAGCTGTACTACGAAAATCAACGTTCTGCGAGAAGTGTGTTTCGTGCACTTAGAGCAACTTGTGGTGTACATAATCGGCCCGCCGAACGCACAATTCGAGGTACGGTCGAAAAATTTGAAACCCAATTTTCATTATTGGATAATACCCGACCAAATAGATCACATCCAGCACGCAGTGAAGAAAATATAGCTGCGGTAGTATACGTGAGGACCGTGAAGAATCGATTCGGCGCCGTTCTCAACAGCTTGGCTTGTCGTATTCGAACAACTTGGCGTATTTTACGTAAGAATCTTAATTTGGTATACAAAATTCAACTCGTTTAAGAATTGTAGCCGGCCGAC